AACCTTCATCTAAAGTACAATTTAAAAAATCTAAAAAAATAAAATAAAGTACAATAAACAAAATTTTTTTAAAAAAGCGCTAGTCGTGGTGGTTGGTGAGTACCATAGGCATATGTCTCTGGAGATGCCCCACACATTTCGTATGTTCTTGATGGGGTATCTATAAAACATTTGCTGATAGGAGATGTTAAGAAACTCCAGGACCCCTGCCGTTCTTCTTAAGGGAGACTATGCCCACTTGAAGAGATTAGACGTTAATCTTAACAAGGACTTGAGGAGGGACCTGAGCTCAAGTCTTTCTTCTTCCAGGAAGCCACCCCCTCAATGCCCCAACCCTGACTCTCCAAAGCAGCCAATATGGTCCTCCCGTGGTTGCCTCTCTCATAAGGACAGTATCATAATGTCTGTTTCTTACGTGTTTCCCTACCTGACTGTGAACTTCCTGGGGGCCAGGAACATGTGTTAATCACCACTACACCCTAGTACCTACCACAGAGCCCGGGACATAGTAGGTGTGCAGTAAATGTTTGCTGAATGAAAAGAGGGCCAGACAAAAGGACCCTGGAGAAGGAATTGTCTGGACTCAGGGGATCTAAAGTTCTGCTACCGGGAAATCAGCAAGAACCACCTTCTGAGACAGGATGGGTAGAGGCACAGCACATTCCTGACAAGCTTGTCCTATGTCACCGTAGAGAAAGCCGACCAGGAGGAGCAGGGCAAGAGATAAGGTGAACGAGATCTTGTGACTACACCCTCAGCAAGGTTTGCCCTTCAATGTGGATGCTGCTCCCAGCAGGCCAAGTTCAGAGAACTTACATTCATGAGACCCCTCTCTTGGGGTGGGCGATTGTCAGGGACTATCTCACTTCACCCTCACAATGATCCTCTGGGGAAGGTATAATGATCCATTTCATAGATGCAATGCTGAGCCCTAAATCCTTCTCCAGAGCCTTATGTTTTCACAGCACTCAGAACAGGGCCAGGAGCCCTGGTGGTGCAGTGGTTAAAGCGCTTAGCTGCTAACTAAAAGTTTGGTGGTTCGAACCCACCAGCTGTTTCGTGGGAGAAAGATGTGGCAGTGTTTTTCTGTAATGATTTACAGTCTTGGAAACCCTACAGGGCAGTTCTACTCTGTCCTATAGGGTCTCTATGAGCCAGAATCGACTCAACAGCAGTTTGAGTTTGGTTTTGGGTTTTAGAACAGGGTTACAAGCAATGAAGCACTTTATAAAACCATAAATTCTCAGGGTGGATGGAGGCCTCCTACTTCATCTACCCCCTCCACAAAGAAAACCAAACCCACTGCCATCAAGTTGATTCCAACTCATAGCACCCCTACAGGACAGAGTAGAATTGCCTCACAGAGTTTCCAGGGCCGCAATCTTTACGAAAGCAGACTGCCACATCTTTCTCCCGGGGAGTGGCTGGTGGGTTCAAACCGACAACCTTTCAGTTAGCAGCCGAGCACTTAACCTCTATGTCACCAGAGCTCCAAATTCCTTCAACATCCAACAAGCTTCTTGACTTCCTCCCACACTGGAGGGATCACTACCTCTCTAGCCAGCTCACCCGACCGTTGGGCAACTCTGAGTGCCAAAAAAAGGTTTCTTACCCATCATTCTGACTTCTACCCATCAACCCCAGACTCTTCTCCTTGTATCTGCACAGCACATGACAGCCCTCCAGCTATCTGAAGACAGTTATCATCTCCCCTCCCCTCAAGGGTTTAGAAAGATCTCTGCAGAAAGATTGCACAGACTGTCCACTGTGAAATTTGTTTGGTGAAGGTTAACAGACACTCGATACAAGAATCAGATAGAGAAGATGGCATATCTTGTTGCAGTAGGGACAATCCCTCTTCTACTGGGGAGGTGCACACAGGAGGGGAACTAGACACCAAAATCCACATAAACCCTAACAACATTCTTCACAGAAAACATTTATATTGCCAGAAGAGACTTCTGAGATGAACCCAACTCCTTCTTTTACAAAGGAGGACTTGAGAAGCAGAGAGGTAAAGTGACACAAAGGAACACAGCGATTAAGCAGCAGAGTCACAATTAGAAAGAACCCTTTGAACCTGCAATCCCATCCTCTTTGCACCCCACCTCCATGCATCTCCCTGCTCCAAAACGCTAGAGCAGCCACCCCGTAATTTCAGGATAGTCCCATAATTACAGCACCCATCTACAGTCTCACTTTCACAACATCCCCAAGAGCCAACGGGAGGAAACAGGTCATTAAGCTCCGTCTTACAAAGGATAAGACCAAGGCATGGAGAGGTAACAGGACTTGCTCGGGTTCCCTGGCAAATTGAGTTTATACTTGGAAAGCAAAGCTCAGTAAAGACTCTGCTGTTTGTTGGCAATGGGCTGTTGAAAGAGGCCGTGCTCTGGAAATGGGTTTCCTAAGGAAAGGAAAGGAGCCGCCTCTGTCTGCAGTTCAGTTCTGCACTGTTTTATGATTGCTGTGTGTGCTGATATGGGAAGCTCTGCAAACTCATGCTCTTCCTTCCTTCCTGCCTCCCCAAACCATCATGTTCAGGGTAAAGGGGAATGGGAAGACAGCTGGGAGCTCTGTGACCTGGGACACACTACCTACCAGGCTGAGCTCCAGTTTCCTCATCTATAAAAACAGGGACAATAAATTCTTCCCTGTTAACATCACCGTGATGTTGTGAAGCTCAGATGACGAAGGGCAAGTATGAGGCAGAGAGGCTCATTCGCACAATAAACAACTGTCCTTTGCCTCTCTCTTCCACAGCTCCCTACTACCTAGCCCTACTACCCCGAGCAGGTGGCAGGTTCATGAAGGTCTCACCCAAGACAACAGAAGAGAAAGAAAACCAATTGCAACACCATCCCAATAGTCCATGACACCTGTGCATGGCCTACACTTTTTCAAAGGGCTTTTCCAGTTATGCTAATATTAACATTTATGAAGTTCTCTGTGCCAGGCACCATACAAAGGGTTCTGCGTGCTGTCTTGCTTTTAGTTCTCAAAACCACCCATTTTACAGATGACAACCCTTAGGCTCAGAGGTTAAGGGTTAGCAGGTGGAACCAGGATGAAAACCAGTTCTACCCAGCCCAATGGTTCCCAAAGTTTAGTGTTCAGGAATCACCAGTGGAGATTAACAAACAATGCAGATTCTGATTCTGCAGGTCTAGTGTGGGGCCTGAGCTTCTGCATTTCTAGCAATCTCTCAAGTAAATGGACTAAACTTTGAGTAGCAAGGGCTCACTTTTAAGTTCTATTTGGGCAGAGGCTGTGTCAAAGAATCTCCAGGGCTTATCACCGGGCCCCGCCTATAGAAGACACTCAGTTATTATTTATTTAATGAGTCAATGTATATCTCACTCAAAACCCCAAGCTTTAACACTTCTTTAAGTTGAGTCTCATTATGTCATTTGATCCTGGTATGTCAAGATCATCCCCATTTGACCGATAATGAAACAAAGTCTCCAGAAAGAGTTGTTAGTTGCCAACGGTTTTACAGCTTTTGTATAACCGCTGGAGGCAGTCTACCTTCAAATCCTTTGCCTTGACCACAGCTGCCCCAAGGAATGCGGGAGAAATTAATAATTACAGACAGCCGGACAGCGAGGAGCTGGACTCGTCCCGGCACATGACCGGCTCGCTGCTCCGGAGGTCACCCAGGGGCTCCGAGCCACTGACCCGAAGAGAAGAAGGCCGGTGCTCGCGCCCGCCCTCCACCCCGACTAGGGAGAGAAGCGAGGATAGGAGGAGGCCGTCCCGGGCACAGTGCCAGGCAGCGGCGGACAGGTGGTGAGGTGACCCCCCGCCTGACCTCACTGAGAGCCCCGCGGGGCCCAAGCACCCCTCGCTGTCCAGCCTAGGATGCTGGAGGATCCGAGGCGTCCAGGGAAATCGCCGCCGGGAGAAGATAATCACCCGGCACATGACCCTGCAGGAGAGTGGAGGGTGCGCAACAGGGGTGGGGTGCGAGGGCTGGGGGAGCGCAGCCCCAGTGTCCGAACCCCTGTAGCTGGATTTACGGAGCAGAGGGCAAGCCCTGTCCACCACAGCCCGCGGCAGCCCCCGGAATCCCCCCGCAGCCCCTAGCACCCCACGGCAGCCCCCAGCCCGCCGGCACTCACGGCCTTCAGCTGCTCCAGCCGGTCTTTCATCCTGGAGCCCGCGCGCCCGGGGGCAGGGGAGCGCGTCCCAGGTGAGCGGCCGGAAGTGGCGGCCGGGGCGGCCGGGACCAGAGAGCGCGAGCCGCAGGCGGACGGCGGCCGCTCAAGAAAGAACGTCCGAGACCACCGAGGCTCCGCCTCGCCTCCCGCTCCGGTCCCCGCCGGCGCCGCTTGCTCTAAATCCGGCTCCCCGGCCGGCGCCGGCGCAACGCCGATCCGCGCGGCCCGCCCCTCACCTGGCCGCGCCCGCGCGCTTCCTTAAAGGGCCCGCCACCCGTGGCGTCTTGAGCCCCACCTCCCCTAACTTGGGCACGTCCAGGGACTGCAGGAGTCGGGTTGGGGGCTCAGGCACTTCTAGATCCCGCCGCAAGGCCCAGGAAAAGCGGGTAGGTCTGTGTGACCTCAGTCCCATCCCTTTCCATTCCCCCACCATTCACTCGTCTCCTACGTGGGCCAGGCTCTGTACTAGGATCCACCCTCGACAGACTTACTGCTAGGCGGGGACAGCGTAGTAAAAAAGTGACAAGTTCGTAAGAATATGATTTTTGCTACAATAGGTGGGAGGAAAATATTATGAGACTGTCCAAGAGAAAGCAACGAATCCCGCCTGGGGGAAGGGTAATTCCCAGTAACTGGCACAGCAATGGAGCAGGCACAGAAGCAACCGGAATTTGTGTCAGGGGTGGAAGGTGTTCCAAGAGGAAATAACTGGAGATGGGGCGGGACTAATCAGGTTGGGCAAGGAATTTGCATTTTATGCTGTTGGCAATGAGGACTTCTCAAAGAAGTACAAGCAGTTCAATGTTGAAGTCAGAACACCTGCCATTAACAATTTGTATAACCTTGGGAAAGTCACTGTTTCTCTAGGAAACTCCATTTTGTGTCTATACATTGGAGATAAGACCCACTTCATAGTTTACTTTGAAGCCC